GGTCTTAAAGTCCTGTAGTATTGTTTTTATGAAGTTGGGTGCACCAGAGTTTGGTGAATTCATGTTTCTGAATTCATTCAATAGTTTATCCCTATCTTCCTTCAGTTCTTTGATTTCTTTTTTTTTGTGTGTTTTTAAATTCACTGAATTCTTTTATCATGTTTATAATTGTTCTTTTGAGTTCCATGTCCTGCATTATCTCTAGGGGGTTCTCATTGTACTCCTCTAGAGGACTATTGGTATTTTGTGGGGATATGTTATTTTAGTTTTTCATGTTATTATTTTTTCTCTGTGGTTTTGACATGTGAATTTCTTTTGCAGTTTCTGATTCTTGTGTAAGACTCAGGCCTTCAAGGTTAGGTCTGCTTCTTTTTGTGAACTTTATGTGTCTTTGTGGTTTACTTTTTGGGCATGAAAAGCTGGTATGTCTAATCTTCTGATTCTCTCTTTTGGTTTTATATTGGAGTGGCTGAATTGCTTTTGTCTTCCGGAGTTCCCACAGAGGCTCAATTCAGATGAGGGTCAGATGTTTTCAGGCTTTCTCCTAAGGTCTGGATCCCTCCAGGAACGATTTTGGCCTCAGGAATTTGGGGGTTGGACTGGCCTGGGAGCCTGGTCCAGGAAAGATGCTGGTCTAGGGCAGCTGGTTGCCATGCCACCCAGAGATGCAAAGGCAGATGGGGCAGGAAGAGTCCCCAAGGACTCCTGGGGACTGCACTGAGGAGTTGTGTTGGTCTGGATGCAAAGGATCAGGAAGAGGAAAGGTCAGCCCCAAGGTCCCAGAAAGAGGCTGGTGGGTGGTTTCAGAGTCAGGTGAGGGGGGTGTCCAGGCCCAAATACAGTGCTCCTGGGGCCCAAAGAAGGCACTCTGTTGGTCTGGATCAAAAGGATCAGGAAGCATGATTGGTTCCCCAGGTGTCTGCGGCCCCAAGATAAGGAATGGTACTGTACCCAGGCCAGGAGAAGAGATTGGGTGGTGCAGGCCCAGGGAAGCAGAGTTGTTGTTTTTGAAGTGTGTTTCTTGCTATATTATCTTTTGTTTGTAAGAAGTCTATGCTGTTTCTTTCTGATTTCAGATTATCTCTGATTTCAAAGTGTTGTATTTTACTCTCCTTTACTAATTCCTCTTCTTTCATTTTAAAGTTTGTATTCTCAAATATTATCCTTTTCTCTATGTTCTTAGACTAAGCTAAACCCCTCTTTGAATTTAAGCACCATATATACTTATAGACTTATTATTTCATTATAGAAATCTCTTTAAGGCTTCAGAAATCCATCCATTATCTGTTTATACAACTGATATGCATTCAGAGTCAACAAGTATCAGGTGTGAACTTGGAGCAACTGTTGGAAGTGGAAGAGTGAGCAACAGAAACCAAGACTCTACTTCCATTTTTCTTGAATGTTCCCAAGGATTTCAAAGCTCAGTATGCTCAGAAGTGAACTGCCCCACTTCTGCAAACATATAAATATTCTATAAATTTAGAATAAATATCTAATTAATACTAGTATAAATATGAACAGAACATGAAAACTCTAGAAACATGTATTGTTTTTAAATTAATATACGATCAAAGAAGCATCATAAATTATTGCATGAAGGCATTGGTTGACAAAAAATGCTGAAACAATCACCCAGGTTAATGTTGAAGCCCTAAAGTGTTTACAATTTCCTTTTCACTTTTTTTTATTAGAAGAAGCATTTCATTACAACAGCATTAACCTATTCAATAACATTTTTCTGAGCTAAGGTACATCTCTTTCAAAATTGGCTGTATATTTTTAGGTTTACAGATCAATTATTACTCTTGTACAATCTTTTACTCATTATAAACTCTATAAGACATAAAAAAATTAAATGAGTTTTTAATGTTTAAAAAAGATCTCCACTTCGTTGTTAAAATACACAGTTGGAGAAGAAAATACACAGTTTCATACAGAAAAATTCATTTTAAGGCAATTGACATTGAGACGTTTTCACATGCATTTCTAATCTCTATACATATGACTATTACTGGTCACAGTCGCTTACTTTCTGAGTTCCTTGGCATCTAAGTATGAATATAAACTCTTCAGATAGACAGCCTTCGTCTCCCACTAGAGCCTCCGTAGTCTATCATCCCTGCCACTGTCCACTGTGTTGTCAGGACCCCCATCTATTCCCCCCTATCTGCCCTTCTGGTAAATCTAGTCAGCCAGAGGTCCCTGTTCCAGGAGGATCAGCTGTTCCTCATCTACAGCAATCCATTGTCAGTATTCCTTTGGATAGAATTGGGGTCTGCTGTTCATTTTTCCAGTAGTGTGTTGGGTTACTATCTGGAAGAGCCTTTATCCATCCTGGCCAAGAACTCGACTGAAGGTATCACCTGTCTGGCTTTGCTGTTTGTCAAGTAACTTTTAGCTATATATATGTATGCTCTTATGAAATTATATTGGCCCCTTTAATCTTTGGTTATACTTCCCTTTTAGGTGTTTAAGGACATACAATTGGACCAGATAAACTGATTTGTTTTTACTCTTGAGGTCGTTTGAGGATCTGTTCCTCAGGGGTCCCATGGGCTTAGGAGGAGCCCCTGGCTCCTTTCTTTTACCAGTTCCACCTTTTTACTTTTTTAAACTTAGAGACCATACTATACCAATTGCAGGAGTATCATCCTGGTGAGCTCAAATCTTTAGTCTTTGTGTTTCACAAAACTCTGAATATCCCCAGTACCTGCCTCCCTGCCATCCCCTTGATGACTGGAGCAAGAAAAGACCATGGAAGTTATTGTAGGGGCCACTAAAAGTGCCAAACATGACTTCTGCCCATATCCTGTTGGCTCTATCTATCACATGGTTTCACAGAAAAATAGATTTGAATTGTCTTCTGGAGGACTGACCAATAAGAAATTGAACATTCATATTTCAGTGACTGGCTAGCATTATTTGTGGAAGAACTTCCCAAAGCACCAAGTCAGTTCAAGGTGAAGCAGAGCCTGTGAGCCTGACAGGCCAGCTTCCATGCCAGGCTCTGCTTTTAAACCCCAAGGGAGGTTGTTTCTTTGTCAGTTCCACATGTATAAAGTGACTGATTTTATTCCCGTTTCATGGAGTTGGTGATAAATTAAATGAGGAAATTCAGGAAGCTCACAATAGTCCACAGCAATTGTTGTTAAATAATTGTCTGTATTAAATACTAATCGTTAACTGTTAGAATTGACAGGGGGAAATAGAGCTTGTTTCTCATTACTACTTAGAAGAAAAAAATTATTGACAAACAGCTCAATTGCTTCTTCAAAAATACCATGTGCTGCATGAATTTAATCTTATATGGAGAATATTTTAAATAAAATCCAACTCAGTTTCCATAAGGCTTTTAATCTGAGGTCTGAGCAACAAGATAGGAATGTGTGATATAAACCATGCTACTCTGAGCACAGCTATGACTCAAGTGCCTTGCTGGGATTATCTGTATCTTTATATCTCATAAATAATAATTTAGACATATATGTCAACTTTAAAGTCACACTATGTCCCCCATTTTAATCTAGCAATCTCCTAACTGGAGTCAGCAAGATAAGGTCAAATTGTCTTCTTTCTTGTGGGTGAAACTGAATTAGAAAACCCAACTTGGAAGACACAGAGTCAAATTAGCTTCCAGTACTTTCTCCACTAAATTGGATTCATCATCAGAACCACAGACTGTTTCCCTGCTATTGTCCCATTAGAGGCTGAACCTACCATGGTTAACTTTACTCCTGAAGACTAGCTAAATGTTGGCAAGAGAGTATGATGGTCAAATCCATATCCCAGTTTCCAATCAAGTGGTCTTTGCTGCAATCCAAAGGACTGACTGCAGCACAGTGGTGGTTGGAAGCCACTTTTCCTCACTCTAAATCTCAGAAAGGGCAGCTATTCTCACCAGGATCCACCATCCCAGAGACATAAATATGTGGTCTATGCAATCAGTCATTTGTGCATATTGAAATGTTAAACATTTCAGATAACACAAGATGATAATATTGAGGCCTGCATAACAATATAATAATTCAAACTAAATTTGATCAGTGAAGTAATCCATTTCAAAAGGAGAGAGAAGAGTAATTAGAGGGCAAAACAACCTAGAAGTAGAATTATGGGAAATTAGTTAAAAATATATATTACAAATATTTGAAAGTTTGGTCTATAAGCTATATATCTACCATAGTGTCTATTATTTTGAAAGCAAACATAACATCACAGATGCATTAATGGGAATAAAATTGGTGAAAATAAATGTACTGAGGACCCTTTTTATTCAAATGACAGTATTATATTGAGCTCTGACAAGTAAAAACAACATATGGGAAAAAATCCTAGACAATTTTCAAAGATAGAATGCTAGAAGGCAATGTTAAATAATTGAAAGAGCACATGTATGTTGTGAAACAGAAAGATTTGAGCTGAAATATTATCATATGGCATGTTAGTTGCAAGACCTTAATCATGCTACCTTAGCAGACCCTGCCTCCCTCCTTGTCTTGTGACATAAAAGCAACTTCATAGGGACGTTCTCTTAGAACACATCAAAGCATGATGTCTTTCCAATTAATCACTCAAAATCCTTGGGAAATGAATTGAAATTGAGAGCCTGGAAGAAGTAAATTAACATGAAATTGTTTTGAATGGAAAGAGGTGACCTAGTCTGCCCTTCCTTCTAGTAAACAGTCTCTTTAGACTCTGAAGAGTCTGTAGTGGAACAAATAATCTTAAATTGCATCAATTTTCTCCTTGACTTCCTGAGAATATAATACGGGAATAACTCCTAAGTCTTACAGTGTCCAAACCAGGAAATCATCTAAAAACATTACAAATGTATATCTAAATGATTGGAGAACTCAGTCTAATCTCTTCTGCAAGAATTTAAATCTCAAATGTGTTCTACATGTCTGACCTTGAGACTGAATTGCCCCAAGTATTTTCTAAAATATGTACCAACTTAATGTGTTTTACATCTTAATTCTTAATGTTTCTTTTTATAGCTTTTACAACTGGGACAGTCATGTTGCTATCTGCAATTCAAGTCCTAATTATCAAGTGATTGCTGACAACCCCGAAGGCTTACTTTTTAAATATAAAAGAGACAGAACAATTCTCAATGTGGACCCAAGGGTAATTTTTGATTTATTCTTATATTTCTTCAAAGCGTGTTATGTTTCTGCCTATTCAAAAATCTCTTAAAATTTGACAACCTTATGGCTTAGGAGTTTCGTTTCTTTGATTTTTGCTTGTTTTGTAGCTCAGAAATGAAAATATGTTTAGAAACATGGCATGTACACTCAGAAAACAAAGGAAGGAAAGAAGGAAGGAAGGAAGGAAGGAAGGAAGGAAGGAAGGAAGGAAGGAAGGAAAGAAGGAAGGACCTCCAAAGTCTGGTAAATTACCAGACATTAATTACAAAATGTTTAGGGGGCTTTTAAATTGAACTTATAAATAGGAACACTTCTCCATGTCAGCAGCAGAATTAGATTAGAGAGCTAGTGAAGGTTTGTTTCCTGTGATCCTTAAAGGGCAGGAGGAATTGAGTTATTAGAAGGAGAGGGATTCTCACCTGGGTACATTTGTATATGGAATTCTTATCCTTCTGTATATGTGACTGACTAAAAACAGTATAGGTGAAAAGTCAGGCATGATAGTTTACACTTATAATTCTAGCACTTGGGAGACTGAGGCAGAGACTGAGGACTGCCACAAATTGAGGCCAGCCTGAGCTACATAATGAACTCTAGACTTGCCTTAGCTAAAGTGAGATCTTGTCAAAAATCAAGTAATTAAAAAATCAATATATCTGTTAATGTTCCTCTAAGTGTTGATTGAGAAAACACATTTAAATATTTTAACGATATATCTTGTGATACTTTGAATTTTCAAGGACAATAATTTATATATTTTCAAAGGCTAAAATTGCATCATGAATTTCTATATAAATTTCTAGATGAAATTTGAAACTTTGCTTAACATTATTATATGCTAGAGTTATTGAGGATGTTTGTTTATTAACTTTTGTGATTTTCTTTTGCTCTTGTTTTTTATTTGGAGCTTTTTCTCTTTATCTTTAATATGACAATGTCAGTCTAAAATTCAAAGAAAAAAATCCTTCAGAGTGAAAACACACAAGGTATGTGATATGCATGGGTTAGAGGCCAATGGAAAGGGAGACAGTTGGCTTCTGAAAGTCTTTTGAAAAAAATTTAGAGATACAAAGTCAAAAAATATCCATTCCATACTTACATAATACAGTTTATGTCATATACAAAGTGCTTAATAACTAAGTGTCCAAAGAATGAATTATTGAAATTCTAGAGCAAGGCATAGATTCCTTTCTCCCATCACACTCAGATGCAAGCATCGGATCCCAGGGCTGAGTTAAACAGGACAGAAACCTCTCTCCTGCATGTGAATCCAGACAGTGGCAGCCAAGATCAGAATGGTACCTCCACTGTCATTTGAAACAGTGCTAACATGAACCCCTCTGAAGCCAAAATACATCTCTAAACATGGTCCGAACAATACAGAAGGAGGTGAAAACATGCAAAAACTATGCTCTTGCTGCCTTTGAAGGAAGTTTCCTGAAAGTTCCCACACAGAAGTGCTCTTATGTTCCATGGTTGGTGAACAGTTAGATATGGCCTATCTAGACATCTGGAAATCTGAGCAACATCATTTTTCTCTAAGTAGCCATGCACTCAACTAAAAACCTGGGTTCTGGGACAGGGAGAAGAGAGAGGTGGATTCGCTGCTAGTCTCTGCTGACACATGCTCCTGCAGAGCAATGCTGCTCCTTTTGATATCATTTCTCTGTAGTAAAGCAAGCTTCTGGAAACTCTAGGGTCATGTTTACGATGAATCTCTGAGTTCTAAAGAAGTTCAGTGAAGTGCCTTCCCTCTAGCAATGCCTCTTTATTTATGTAAAATATCGAAATGTGATTAGGCAAGTACAGAAAACTGCATAAATAGCATCCACAGGTTTTTTTCCCCCTTTAGAAGACTAAGCTGTATATGAAAGAAAGGCCTAAAATTAATAATGACATTAAGATGCATGAAACAGGTCTCCAGATAAGTTTTGAATGGTATCATATTTAACCTATTTAACCTATGTCAGGGCTCTGTTTTAGCTAATGGTCTGCAAGGACACATGTCATGAAAGGGATTTGTATGGACTTTGAAGAATCAATGAATACAAACTATTAATTGAACCTGGTTCAAGTAATTTTAACAAAATCTTCCACTTCAAAAGTTATCAATCGCAAGATTTCAAAGGCTGTTTCAATAATACATGAAATATAAAATTTCTTCTTTTCTGGAAGAAAAGAATTGAACTTGAAGGAAAGGCTTTCTAAATCTTAGAGAAAAGTATCTATCTGTTCATGAGGATAAGAATGGAATCAGTGGGACATCTGATGTCATCTGAATACTTATTCAATGTTTTCAAATTGAAAATTTGAATCTTAGATTAATTTTAATATTTTGAAGATAAAAATTAGTCTCAGACTTTCTAGAAAGATATTCTGGCCCCAGGATCAAGAAACAAACCTCTAGGCAAGTACTTACTTGGCTACCTCACCCTGACAATCTCATGGCTCCTTCCTGGGTTTTAATGATCACCACCAAATGAAAGGGCTTGCGTTTGTTGGTTTGTTTTGTTTTATTATGATCTGAGTGTTCCTAATGCACCAGCTCAATTTTCAGATTTAGTCTCCACTGAGCCCAATAGATACAGATTTTAATAATGAGTCTACAGACTGTCCATGACCCACAATTCAAGCAAAGTTTTCTCCATGAGGAAGCAGTAACCTGAAGAGGTCTGGCACTCTGTTTCCAAATATAAATAGAATAACACAAATTTCCATTTTTATCAGCTGGCCATAAAATCAGCATGTATAACTCCTGCATAATTCTGTAGCCATGCTTGTCAAAGTTCCCTGAAGGTGTCCGACATTTCTTATAAAACCTACAGAAGAAGAATTAAGAAATAAGCTACACTTTACATTTTATTAACTGTAGATACAATTAAAGGAATCACAGTTTTATATTTAATGCTTCTCATAATAATTGTATTTGAAATTTTTCCAAGATGAACATCTTATGACTTGAGCAGTTCAGGAGCTAGAGGTATCATGAGAAAACAACCCCTTCCCTCCTATTCTTTTTCTTAAACTATTCTGAAATACTTGAAATTAAAGCGGCTGAGATCAAGGAAAGGTAGAAACTGGTAAACAGGATGTGTTTCCTTTGTGCAACAGATGTAGACTCATTAATTCTAAAGTGTAGTTCCCATGAAACACAGTTGCTTGTGAATGGAAACAGTCGGAGAAAGAAAATTTTGCAGGTTTTAAAACAAGTAATATGAGTTCATTGGTTGAGAAATTCCAAATGCAATAAGAGTTTGGTTGCATTGAAAACAGGACCACTGGCTTTAACCTCCCTGCAGCTGTATAACATCTGGAACAAATAAAGCAAGTTTCTATTTTTGAGTGAAGAATGCTTGTCTGAGTGATTCACACCCACCAAAATGTTTCCAGTATATTATCTTAGAGGGACTGCGTGGAAGCACTCTGCGCTCATTCCCTTCCATTATCTGCACAAGTGAAAACAAAATGGGCAGTTTTCTTTTACTTTTAGACAACACTAGCAAGAGAGTTTTCTTTGGGTCTTGTCATTAATATAGGTGCTCTAAAACAGGCATAGCTCACCAAAGAGGTAAGGGAAAGGGAGGTTTAATAATTAAAATGGGGGGTGGGGTCTCTTCTTGGTGTGCACTAGCTTTTCTTCCCATTCACCAAAATGGAAAAGGCCAATGAGATCCCATCACTTGAAAACCACTTGAAAAATCAGTATTCAAAGGGCTAGAGAGACACATGGGTCAATAATGCACTTGCTGTAAAAGCATAAGGACCTGAGTTTAGATCCCTGGCACCCACATAAGAAACCATGCACAGTGGCACAGTTTACAATCCCAGTGCTAGGGAGAACGTGCTTGCTGGCCAACCTAGCTGTGTTAGTGACCTCCAGGTTCAGTGAGAGAACCTGTCTCAAAGACATAAGATATAAAGCAAATGAGGAAGATGTTCTATGCCAACCTCTCACCTCCACAAATGTGTACCCATACCACACATGAACACGTGCACACATACACAACACATATTCACAAGCATGAAGTATTCGGTAAGTATTCATTGAATGCTGGGACCAGAGGGATGATTATGAATTGAACTGTGGTGAGGAAGGAAGAAGAAAGACGGGAAAGTTTAATAGCTCGATATGGCTGCTGTGTTGCTCAGGCAGATGCAGTGGGAATTAAACCCTGAGAAGCCATGAGAAGTCTTGAGTGCAGGCTTGATGTCGATCTGGGTCTGTACTTTATGAAAGTGGAGAAACATGTCACGATTTTATGCAGAGAAATAACAGAATGAAAGTCATGCTGTAAGATGGTTAGAGAGTATAAAATAGGACCATCTCGGAGGAAGAGCACAGCAGGTAAGGAGAGCATTGGGGGACATGAAGAAAACAGAGGGGTCCTGCTTCCTTGAGAAGACTGAAGATGATGCCTTCAGTATTACCACTAGTCGAGCCTTTCAGGCAAAGACAAAACTTAGAGAATGGATATTTGTCTAGAAAAGCATTTGAAAGTTCTCCCTTCACCCAGTTCTCAAAAGAGAAGCATATAGTGGAGCATAGTATGAACACACCTGCACGCTGAACAACTGAGAACAAACAAGGAGTACAAGCATCCTGTTAAAACACCTCACAGATTCTTGGCTTCTGTTGAACGTATGAAACAAAAGACATTGTTACAGGGCACCCCGTTCTGGGGGGATCTTGATCACAGTTTGGAAGGCTCATGAGACACAAATTAAGCATTGATTTAGCAGGGGACAGTTCTGTCTTTGAAAATTGATCACAATTGTGCATTTATAACAATGAGCTTCCTTGGAATGCAGGCTGTCATTGCTGTGGGGTCTTCACCAACAGCTAGGCTCCCATAGCTTGATTAGGAGCAATTCCTCTCAGTTTAATAAAGCACTTCCTCCCTCTCCCTCTCTGCTCACACTGGCCAAACAGGAGAACCCAGCCTCCACACCTGGAGAGTCAGACTGAATCTGTGTGTGATG